GGAGCTGTACAGAAAGGCCACTTAGGATCAGTTGTAGGTGAATCCAATGAAAATCAGACCTCCAGCAACTCTTAGGACTAGGAGCAGGCAGAAACCAATCAGGGTCCAGCAGGCAGATAAAAAGGGCAGGCTGCTTCCAGGGACTAATTCTGAGTGAAGCTGGGACAGAGAAGGAGGGAGCTTCATCTGTCTTAACCCAAGAAGGCTGGCCTGATTGGAGTTGAACTCTGACTGTGCCTTTGTTGTGTCAGTCAACAAAAGCCCGTTTTGTACTTTGTGGAATGTCAGGCCCAAAAGCAGGCCAATTTCAGTTAAATATGAATGTGATTGCTGAAAGACTAGGCGAGCTCACATTGTGAGATGCGACACTGGTTTAGGCAAGCCCATGACAAAGACTTGTGGCCTGATTCACTACTGCTTTGATTTCAGTGGGGGTCCACGGCTGTGTCTACACTGGCATGAATTTCCGGAAATGCTTAAAATGGAATACTATTCCGTTTTCAGTTTTTCCGGAAAAGGAGCGTCTACTTTGGCAGGCTGCTTTTCCGGAAAAGCCCTTTTTCCGGAAAAGCGTCTGTGGCCAATGTAGACACGCTTTTCCGGAAAAGAGCCCCGATGGACATTTTCGCGATCGGGGCTTTTTTCCGGAAAAGACTACTGGGCTGTCTACACTGGCCCTTTTCTGGAACAGTGTTCCGGGATAAGGACTTATGCCCGAGCGGGAGCAGAATAGTTTTTCCGGAATAGCGGCTGATTTTGTACAGTATCAAGGGCCAGTGTAGACAGCTCACAGCTTATTCCGGAAAAGCGGCTGATTTTCCAGAATAAGTGGCCCAGGGTAGACACAGCCCACTTGTTTAAAGCTAGAGTTTTGCCTTCAGCCCAGTCTTGCTGTGCTTACTCAGTCTCTGTTCAGGCTAAAACTCATTGAAGTGAGTGTGCATTCCAGGCCCTGATGCTGTGAGGTGAGGTGTGGACCACATCCACATTCCACTACGTGCATCTGACGAAGTGGGTCTTTGCCCACAAAAGCTTATGCTCCAATAAATCTGTTCGTCTATGGGTGCCACAGGACTCCTCGTCGCACATCCACCTCTGTTACACCAGACCCAGTCCTTTGCTGGTAGGTTCAGGAGGGGTGTACCTAATAAGTAGTAGCATGGTAGGGTTTTTTTTTTTTTTGTAAAATGTACATTGTATGTTTGGTAGCCTCCAAGTAATAAAGATATAGATTAAACTCTTAAGTTAAGAGACATCTGTTCTCCTCTGGGCACTATTCTGAGTTTGCCAGTAGAATCCTAGAACTCTAGCTTCCATTCATGATCTAGTTGCTTTCTAGTATCAGGAATCAGTTTCCAAAGAGAGTGTTATGTTGGGCATATCGACTCTGAAATCAAACAAAAAACATCCTGATGAGGTCATCGTGCAGCTCTAAGAAGTTGGAACTAGAACACAGTGGAGCTCAGTTCCACTCCGAACAAAAGTCTCTTTTACCATCTGCAGCTCCACAATGAAAACAGGATGTTGCATCCTCTCCCAAGTGCTGCTATGGTGGGCATTCCCCAGGGACACAGTCAGTTCTCTGAAGTGCCCCTCCATTTGATTGCTACATGTCGGAGCACACAAATATCACATCATCTTTTTTTAACTGAAATATTAAAAATAAATATTTAAGAAAACATATTTTTGGGAAAAAAGCTAGAACTGACATTTTCAAAACTGACAGAAGATTGCCTGATTGCCTTCTGTGACAAGATAACTGGCTTTGTGGATATGGAGAAGTGATGGACGTGATATACCTTGACTTTAGCAAGGCTTTTGTTATGGTCTCCCACAGTATTCTCTCCAGGAAGTTAAGAAAGTATGGATTGGATAAATCAGGGTGGGCAAGATATGGCCTCTGGGCTGGATCTAGTCCAGGAAGCCCTTTGATCCAGCCTGCAGCCTGCCCTGCCGCTCCCTGGTCCCCTAGCCAATCGAGATCTGGGGACATGAGAGTGTGCGAAGTCATTTACTGTTCAGAGCAGCTGGAAGCTCCCTCCTCCCCACTAGGGGCACGCAGCACCTAGAGGGAACCACCCCTTCTCTCTGAGGCCTTGCCCCTTCTGGGGGCAGAGCTGGCCCATGACCACAAACCAAAGATTGTGAAGTGGCTCCCCCTTGCAAAAAATATCACATCTGGGATAAATGGATGGTAAGGTGGATAGAAAGCTGGCTAGATTGTTGGGCTCAACAGGTAGTGATCGATGTCTGGCTAGCGGTTGGTATCAAGTGGAGTGCTCCAAGGGTCAGTACTGGGGACGGTTTTGTTCAACATCCTTGTTAATGACTTGCGTGAGGGAGATATCTGACACTAAGCTAGGTGGAGAGGTAGATACATTGGAGGGTAGGGATAGGGTCCGACGTTGGAGGCTAGGGATAGGGTCCACAATGACCTAGACAAATTGGAGGTTTGGGCCAAAAGAAATCTAATGAGATTCAACAAAAACAAATTCAGAGTCCTGCACTTGGGACAGAAGAATCCCAAGCACTGTTACAGGCTGGGGACCAACTGGCTAAGCAGCAGTTCAGCAGAAAAAGACCTAGGGATTACAGGGATGAGAAGCTGGATATGAGTCAACTATGTGCCCTTTTAGCCAAGAAGGCTAACAGCATATTAGGTTGAATTAGGAGGAGCATTGTAAGCAAATCTAGAGAAGTGATTATTCCCCTTTATTTGGCACTGGTGAGGTCACATCTGGAATACTGCAAAGTAATCCAATTCTGGGTCCCCCATTACAGAAAGGATGTGGACGCATTGGAGAAAGTCCAGAAGAGGGCAACCAAAATGGTTAGGGAGCTGGAGCACATGACTTATAAGGAGAGGCTGAGGGATTTGGGCTCATTTAGTCTACAGAAGACACGAGTGAGGGGAGATTTGATAGCAGCCTTCAACTATCTGAAAAGTGGGGAGGAAGCTGTTCTCATTTGTGACAGCAGCATGAGGAGCAACGGTCTCAAGTTGCAGTGGGGAAGGTCTAGGTTGGATATTAGGAAAAACTAGGGGGCCTCGCCAACCCCCCTCTGCCAGAGAGTCTGATGAGATCATTCTGTTGTGCGGCAAGAAAAACTTTTTTTTATATATATATAGAGAGAGATTATTTTACTGGGAGGGTAGTAAATCACTGGAATAGGTTATCTAGGGAGGAGGCTTGACAAAGCCCTGGCTGGGATGATTTAGTTGGGGTTGGTCCTGCTTTGGGCAGGGGTTGGACTCAATGACCTCCTAAGGTCTCTTCCAACCCTATGATTCTAAGAATCTCTGTCCATCTGCTAGATTGGAAATGCTTAAAGTGTCATTTTCAAAGGTGCCTCAATCCCATTTTCCAAAATGGATTTAGGCACTTTGGAGCCAAAGCCTCATTGAAAGTCAATAGGACATAGGCTCCTAAATGTCTGTTGAAAATGTGAAGCAGGCTCCTAAATCACCTATACAAGTTTGAAATTTGTACTCTTGATCTTTATATAAGTTTAGGGTGCTGAATGGAATGTTCTTGAAGAATAAGATGAGTCAAGGTATCCATGAGTCAAATAACAACAATGGGCAAACTCTTCCCATTGTGTATCTCCACTGATTTCATTGGGGTTTCATGAATTGAGAGAGCAGGAATTGGCCCAGGGTGCATCACCAGTAGGGTGATGATTTAGAGATGCAGATAACAGTCCAAGGAAAAGAAAACTAGCTGGTGCTATCAAATTTGTTGCAGAAATGTTCTTGTAGATTACATCTCTTTAAGCATTTCCTAACCCGTTTATGTGTGCTGTGCACTTCCATACAAGAGATCTAAGTGAATTTCTTCTCTGCATCTCCTGCACACACCCTCTGTCTGATTTAAGAGCTGCATGGACAAATGATAGAAAAAGTTGCATCTATTCCTTCCTTGCTGGAAGAGTGTTGCTTGTATGCAGAACCTTGAGAGTAAAAAGTGAAAGCCTTTCTTAGCGCTTGAGATGGATAGAAGTGCTGGCCAGCACCTGGGAACTAAAGGGTTAAACTCAGGTAGCTTGGAGGGTTGGCAGAAAGCCAAGAAAGCCAATGGGAAAGACTGTTGGAAGTTAGATTCAATATAGATAGTTGGCTGCTGTTCCTTTAGAGAGTTCTAAATTAGCAGCTGGAGGAAGCAAGATGAAGTAATCAAACAGAATTACCATGCCTACAAGAAAAATTGGGCATGGGAATGGACTGGGCTTTGAAGTATGGATCATAGAGAAATGTATGTTTAGTCGTGGTCAGGATATTTTTCTTTATTTTGCTGTTTGGTTAAATTTCTCTGTGTGAATTCCATGAGCTCTCCCTACACCATATCTAAGTTGAAGCCCTTTCTTATCTAAGAAGAGACTGTTTCTTTGTGTTTTGATCTGTTCTTTTCTTAATTGCCCTGTAACACCTAGCAACCAAGTATGCTTTAACAAGTATATCTTTTTGTTTTGTTAATAAAGTCACCTTTGTAAGGTGATGATTTGGTTCTTGTGTCCTAGAAGGTAACAGGAGGTCTATGTGTGTACCTGCTAGCCTAAGAGGGGAGCTATCAGAGACACAGTTTTTCTGTGTTTTTTGTTTCTTTTTTCAAGCTCTCTTGTGGCAAAAGAGCTTGGGGTACCTCTTGGGAAGAAGTTCAAGTGTTTATTCCTGGTTTTCAGGGTTTTTCTTAATTCACTTGATGGTGGCAGCCTATCTCCCAAGGCCAGGGAATCTATAGCCTTGGGGAGTTTTTTTAAGCAGAAGCCTACTATAGAGGCAAGGTATTTAAGGTTTCTTCCAGGCCCCCACCTTCTGCATTCTGAGTGCCAGAGTGGGGAACAGCCCTGACAGGGCTTCATCAGGAATACTGATTGCTGCCTGGGAAAGCAATTAAAATGCACTTGAACCTCTTTAATCCAGCAACCTTGGGAAATAGCCTATGCTGATTATGGAATTTTCCAGACCATGGGTGTTTGCCATAATGAAGGCCATTGGGTGTGGGAGGTGCAGGGTCTCAGATGGAAGGAAGGTGCAGGAGCATGCTGGGGGTGGAGGTGGGGGCGAGGGGTCTGGGAGAGCCTCCTGACAGCACTTCACTGCGCTACCATTTCCCCCAGATGAGGGGAGAGGGGAAGTGCCAACATACAGAGCCACTTCCTCTTCCCCTGCCAGAGTCCAAACCACCTTCCTAGATCACAGAAACCTAGGTTACAGAGGTTCAAGTATATATGCTAGACACAAGTATAAACTGCAGGCACCAGGTAATGATTAGCTTACCGTATTTTCCGGCGTATAAGGCGACTGGGCGTATAAGACGACCCCCTAATTTTCTAGTTGAAAGATAGGTTTTCGTCTTATACTCGCCATATAAGACTACCCCCCCTTAAGAGGCCAACCGGCAGTGCCCCAGCACCCCTCCGCCTCCCCGGCTTTGCTCCCGGTGTCCCTGGTCTGCTGGAGACGGTCCCCAGCAAACCAGAGGCACCGGGAGCAAAGCGGCAGGGGCGCGGCGGGCCCGCGCCTTCCCGGCTTTGCCACAGCAAAGCCTCAGA